CAAAATGTTAATGCTGCAGTCTGGCTGGGCACAAATCACGAGCCACTGAAGCAGGAACAAACTTTATTTTTGAACTGCAGGAAAACACTTCACCCAGCTCCTGGGGAATCCTCCCGAACGCTACGCGGCTCGTCCAGGAACCCCCAGCCGGAAATATCTCTCCCGGAAATCCCTCCTCCTGCACTTCCCCAACCAATGGGAACTCTCGGGGAATCCCCGGAAATCCCCACGAGAACTCCAAAATAGTGCGAGAACTCAAAAGTTGCGGCAGAGGCGGATAGTAATGCCTCGCCTGTCAATCAATACTGTTGGCAAAATGCCAGGGGCCATACAGACTCGGCCGTGGCTCTCAGCATCTCCCCCTTTTTGTTTAATTAAACAACAAGCAATGTGGCTTAGGGACCCTGCCTGTTAGGTAGTCCAATTCAACATATGGTCCTTACCCGTCATCGGATGAACTGACCTCTAGGCGTCAGCCTCCTGTCTTAGGTTGGTACCACTGCAATTGGATCATACCCGTCACTGACTACCGGTCCAGCATACAGCCATACTTGTGGATAGGCCTTTGCACCAGTGGGGGGGTGAGGTTCTTTGCCTCACCTCTGTTGGCCCCCAAATTTGGCCTTGGTGCCAGTGGGGGGGTGAGGTTCTTTGCCTCACCTCTGTTGGCCCCCAAATTTTAGACCATCACTAGTAGAAGGGAGGAGGATGCAAAATGCCATGACACTAAGCCAATTGAGGGCTCCTTTGAAAAATTGTACCACCGGTGACACCATCAGCAAAAATACTCCAGCACTACCACAATTCGCTGCACCAACAGATAGTTCACAATGCATACAAGTGATACATAGTCCAGGCAAGTTCTGCAAACAGTTCAAAGCAGAGGAATCTGTCAATATGTCCATTTCCTCCCAAAGTAAATCGACTCCTTGATTGAGCATTACTTGTTGAGTTATTATTCATTGATACATCAGTTTATACAGTTTGTTGTGATAACTATTGAAGAAGCTGTTGTTTGGTTTTATCTTTGTCTTCACCGGCACTGGGATGAAGATAGGAATTCTGGCAATGATGCTAAGAAAAAAATTATGTAACATTCCAACAGGCACTAAGAAAACAATTTTTTGAACAATTTACATTATCCTGAACGGAATTATTAAATATAATGAGAAGGAAAGGTGAAAGTAAACAAACAGATCTGTTAACCTCCTTATTTGTTCACATATTAAAACAATTATCAACAGCTGTTTACCCAATCTAAATTAAACCATTAAAATCACGTGAATAAAAAAATTCAGATCCATTAATTCATGAGCACTCCTCATATATGATATATGGACATACGCACATACAGACATACAACACAAAACAGAAGTGTGCACACATAACATACAACACATAAGACAATAGTAAAGGCCTTGTAGCTTTACCTAGGTGAAATCTCCATTGCAATGCTTAAAAACTCCACAATCAAAAAATAAAACTGATCAGAAAAACATTAACCTAGGTCTGTATGAGCTCAAAAATAAAATAGAACTTTATGATGTGGGAAAAGGCAAATAATAAAATAAATATTGAAAAAAGCATCTTGGTTAATCACTGTCACAGATGTAAGAATAGCCAAACTGGAGTTCTGGATATCAGCTGTTATGGATTTGAGTCAAATTATCTTCCTTTTGGTCTGTAGAAATTGTTTTAGTTAATCTCTCTGGAATCCAAATCGGCTGCTGTTCTCCCTGTGGAAAAACACAAACAGAACCCCGACTCCAGACAATCACTGGGTCAGGACCTTTTCATTGTCCTGTTAGAATATCCTTCCAAAGTACCTTAGGCTTATGTACATTTTTTGGACACATATGCCTTTCCGCAGCACTAAGCCCTGATGAATCCAAATTTTAAAAGTTTATAGTAAAAAGGGTTATTTTAAGTTTATCTTTGGGTGATATATACCCCTTTCCAATTCCCTCTTTTTGCTTTAATAAGTACATTTTAATAGTTTGATAAGCTCTTTCAACTATGCCTTGTCCCTGAGGATTGTATGGGATTCCTGTTATATGAGTAATGCCAAATGATGAGCAAAATTGTTTAAAAGAGGTAGAAGTATAACCAGGACCATTATCTGTTTTTAACTGTTTTGGAACGCCCACAGTGGCAAAATTTTGTAAGCAATGAGCTATAACATCTTTAATTTTTTCTCCGGAATGAAGGGAGCCCATCAAAAATCCGGAAGAAGTATCAACTGTAACATGCAAATATTTTAATTTTCCAAATTCTGGCAAGTGTGTGGACGTCCATCTGCCAAATATGGTTAGGTATCAGTCCTCTAGGATTGACTCCAAGATTAACTTGTGGTAAAAAGGTCACACAATTTTGACATTGTTTTATTATTTGTCTAGCTTGTTCCTTAGTTATTTTAAAACGCTTTTCTAAAGTATTAGCATTGACATGGAACCTTTTATGAAAATGTGTAGCTTCTTCTAGTGTAGAGAAAATATGTATGTCATGTGTAGTTTTATCTGCTAAATCGTTGCCCAAACTAAGGGCTCCAGGCAATCCTGTATGTGCCCTGATATGTCCTATAAAGAATGGATCTTTTCTGTCCCAGATTAGACTTTGTATAGCAGAAAACAAAGAGAAAACTGTAGAGGAAGGGGAAATCCTGCCAGCATCTTCAAGGGATACTATAGCATTAACTATATACTGACTATCAGAAAATAAATTAAATACAGAATCTTTAAACATCACAAAAGCTTGTAAAACTGCATTAAGCTCTACCTTTTGAGCTGATTGTTTGGGTACTAAAAATGTAAAAGTTTGATCAGGGGTAACTACTGCTGCTGTACCATTATTTGACCCATCAGTGAATACATTTGGAGCATTCATGATAGGGGTTTTTCTTGTCATTTTTGGAAAAACTACAGGATGTGAAGACCAAAAAGACAACAAAGGATTAGATGGTAAGTGATTATCAAATGAAACATTAGATTTACACATGATTATTGCCCAAGTATTTAACTCATTAGCTAACTCATCAATTTGATCCATAGTATATGGAGTAATAATTTTATTGGGAGAAATTCCAAACACTCCCTTTGCTGCTTTTATTCCTTTGAGTATTAATTTTCCTACAGCCTCAGGATACCTAGTAAGAATAGTGTTAGGAGAATAAGATAAATGTTTCCACAATAATGGACCTTCTTGCCAAAATACTCCTGTAGGAATATTTTTTGTTGGTATTACAATAAATAATAAAGGCAAAGTTATATCAATTCTATCCAAATGCATATTTTTCCATATATGTTTCAATAATTTTTAATGCCTTTCTTGCTTCAGGTGTTAACATGCGGGGTGAATTTGGATCTGATGGACCTTTTAGGATATCAAATAAAGGTCCCAACTCTCCTGTTGGTATGCCTAGATAAGGCCTTATCCAATTTATGTCTCCTAATAACTTTTGAAAGTCGTTAAGTGATTTGAGTTGATCTACTCGTATTTGAATTTTTGGTGGACGGACCATGGTTGAGGATAATAGAACTCCTAAATAATTAATTGGAAAATTTAATTGTACTTTATCTATTGCTATCTCTAGATTATATTTTTTTAATAAATTTGTAAGTGTGGCATAACATTCTAGCAATGTGTTTTTATCTTTGTGTGCTAACAATACATCATCCATATAGTGAAATATTTGTAGTTTAGGATTTTGATTTCTAAGTGGCTGGATTGCTTGGTTAACATAAATTTGACACATAGTTGGGCTGTTACCCATCCCTTGAGGGAGTACTTTCCATTCATATCTCTGATCAGGACCTTCATGATTCAGTGCAGGGATAGTAAATGCAAAACGTGGACTATCCTCAGGATGAATTGGAATTGAAAAAAAACAATCTTTAATATCTATAACTAAAACATACCAGGTTTTTGGCAAAGCAGACAACTGAGGAATCCCTGATTGAGCAGGTCCCATAATAACCATCTCATTATTAATGGCTCTTAAATCTTGCAATAATCTCCATTTACCAGATTTCTTTTTGATGACAAAAATGGGAGTATTATGGGGAGATACAGAAGGTTGTATATGTCCTTCCGCTAATTGTTGTTTGACCAGGTCATGGGCTGCTTGTATCTTTTCTTTAGTCAGGGGCCACTGAGGAACCCATACTGGTCTTTCTGACTTCCAAGTAATTTTTATTGTCTCAGTGACCCCTTCTGAAAACCCAGTCCATGTCTATTTATTCCTTGATCTATTTGAATTGGTGCTGCTATGCCTTGTTCTCCTAATCTTTTTTCTTTCCTGAAACCTTGTCTAGCCCTAATAGTGGGCGCATTTGGATTGATGTTATTTGTTAATGTCAAACCTAATTGATCTAGGACATCTCGTCCCCATAAATTTATAGGAAGATGATCCAATACATATGGCTGTATAGTTCCTTCACATCCTTCAGGATCCTTCCAATCTAATACCATTGCACTTCTATGGGGATTAGTTGCCACTCCTAGGCCTTGAAGCGTTTGAGTGGCTTGTTTTAACGGCCAATGTTTTGGCCATTCTTGACGAGATATGATGCTAAGGTCTGCACCTGTATCCAGTAGCCCATTAAATTCATGTCCTTGAATATTTAGTTTTAGCATTGGGCAAGAATCTAAATTTAAAGACAGCATAGCCCAATCTACACCTGTGGAGCCTAATCCCCTGGAACCTCTTTCTATAGTACTACTAGAAAATTTATCATGTAGGCTAGGTATTATTAATAACTGTGCTATTCTATCTCCTGGTGAAATTACTGATATACCCTTTGGAGAACTAGCTATAATTTTTATTTCACCTTCATAATCGGGATCAATTACCCCGGGACTTATCATAAGTCCTTTTAGCGTAGAAGAACTGCGTCCTAACAATAAGCCTACTGTTCCTTGGGGAAGAGGTCCTTTTACTCCTGTGGGAATGATTTGAACTCCCATCTCTGGAGTTAGTACTGCTCTGGCGGAGGTGCAGATGTCCAACCCTACGCTCCCTCTGGTTTTTCTGATGAGAGATCTGATGGATAATGTGTCCTTGGCACTGCCCTGATGGTGTTGCTGGGTTCCTCCATGGTGTTTCTGGGCTCCTCCAGTGCCCCGTACATTTGTGGTTGTGGGCCCCGGAGCATTGGGCCCCCCTATCCGTTTTTTGGCAATGGAGCCCGATGCCTTTCTCCACGATATCGTGGGTAAACACTTGGTCCTTGTCTGTTTTTTGATAATGGAATACCCTCTATGGTGGTTTGAGAACAGCATTCATTAGCCCAATGTTTCCCTCTACGGTATCGTGGGCAAATACCCGGTATTCTATTCCTTTGATACCTAGCTTTGTTAAACCCTACTCCTATGGGGCAACTCCTTTTAAAATGTCCTGTTTGATCACAATTATAGCATGTTTTTGGCCTGGCATCTGAAGCCTGTTGTACTGCTGCTAAGACTTGCCCTTGTTCATTAATGTCTCTACATAATGTAATATATGTGTTTAAATCTTCATGTCTCCATGATCTAATGACCTCTCTGCAGCAACGATTTGCTTGGTCATAAGCCAGTTGTTTTATAAATGGCATTGCCTGTTCTGTATCCCCCAAAATTCTGGAAGCTTCTTGAATAAGCCTATCTACATATTCAGCATAAGGTTCATTAGTTCCTTGTATTACCTTAGATAATTGACCTTGTAAATCTCCATGCCCCTGTAAAGTTTTCCATGCCTCAACCGCATCTACAGCAATTTGTGCGTATACGCCAGGATCATATTCAATTTGTTGCCATTGACCCTCATAAGGTCCTTTTCCTAACAACATATGTAGATTTCTTTGAGGGTAACCAGCTGCTGCATTTCGCCTAGCTGTCTCCCTGCAAAATTCCTCATTGGCATCCTTCCATAACAAATACTGTCCTCCATTTAGCACAGATTTACACATACTAGCCCAATCTGCTGGCGTCATGTCCAAGTTAGTAATGGATTCGACCATGCTTACAGTGAAGGGTGCTTGGGGACCACAGGTTGTTACAGCCTCCTTTAACTGCTTCACTGTTTTGAAATCTAAAGCTCGGTGAATTCGCTGCTCTCCTGCCTGCTCAAGTACAGGGCATGCTAATCTTTGAGGTCCTGTCTCAGGATCCCATCTATCAACTACGGGGTTTGAGGGCCACTCAGCTATCTCCATAGGGGGGCTGTTGGTTGAATTACGCCCTCTGGTGATAGAACGGTGTTAGTAGCAGCCTCCTGTTGTAGCTTTTTCCCGAATAGTTGTTTTTCCTCTAAGCTTTCTTCCTTTAAATTTTCTTCCTCTGTCTGACTAGCTTGAGAGACCTTCTCTTTTGCTTGATCTAAAATGTCTTTCTCCATGGTCTGAACCTCTAACAATTTACTTAACACTCTTTCAGTTTGTTTTTTACTAATTTCTAATCTGTTATAAAGATAACGCAACCCAGTAAGATAACACAAAACAAAACCGAAACAGAATGAAACAAAAACGGAACAAAAAATCGTTGTATCAGTTTTCCTATTTTCTTGATATGTGCATTTGTGGTCTATTTCTATCTCTTCCTCAGGGGCGAACAACTTCAAACCTTGAGCCAACCATTTTTCCCAATCTGCCTGAGAAAATTCTAGGGATAGGCAGCTTGAAACAAACACAAAACAAATCAAAACAAGAACACATTTTAAAATGGTCACCCATTCTCTCGCCTTCCCTTAGGGGCAAGCAATTTCACTTACCCCGAAGCTTCAGACGTTCCCCGCATGGGCCGCCAATTGCTGCAGTCTGGCTGGGCACAAATCACGAGCCACTGAAGCAGGAACAAACTTTATTTTTGAACTGCAGGAAAACACTTCACACAGCTCCCGGGGAATCCTCCCTAACGCCACGCGGCTCGTCCAGGAACCCCCAGCTGGAAATATCTCTCCCAGAAATCCCTCCTCCTGCACTTCCCCAACCAATGGGAACTCTCCGGGAATCCCCGGAAATCCCCACGAGAACTCCAAAATAGTGCGAGAACTCAAAAGTTGCGGCAGAGGCGGATAGTAATGCCTCGCCTGTCAATCAATACTGTTGGCAAAATGCCAGGGGCCATACAGACTTGGCCGTGGCTCTCAGTGTGTTAATAGTATATGTGTTTGATTCTTCATTGCAATAAACATGTTATATGCTTCTAAAACATTCAGTAGAAACCCATGTTACCAAAACTTAATTGGTAGTTCCATATAATCTTTGGGAAAATCAAATCATAATCAGCCTGGAGTCTATCATATTTTGAAACAGAGTATTGTTTTCAAAGTTATATTAAATCAAAAGAAGTTGATCATAGAACCTAATAATACTGTATGATGTTAATAATTTAGAAAATATAACGTGACAGGGCATAAGAATTAAATAGTTAATACAAAATAAACAAAACTCTAATGTTAATAATTAAGATTCCTTATTAGAAGAAAGCTGTGTGTCCTGGAAATTTCTTTTCTTGACACGAATGGCATTTGTTTAAAGTAGTTGGGTGATTTGGGCCATTTAGCTTTATAAGTTTTGATTTGTTAAATTTGAGGGGAAGGTTCATGTTCTGATCTTTAGAATTCTAAATATGGATTTAGATCAATATTATCCCACATGCTTTCCAATTAAATTGAAAACAGTACTTATGATGGTTTGCCAAATATTTAGTAGTTGATTGTATTTATTCAAATATCTCGGAAGTGAATCCCTTGATGAATTTGTTGTGTAAAAGTGTTAGATTTTAGTTTACATGGCAGCTGAAATTACTTCTGCTATTTTATGTAGGCTTGGGCTCTTTCCTGCATAGCTTTAGGATTTAGATAACACTAACATCTAACATTTTCCCCAATTTATTATTATATTATAATGAAAAAATATTTAAAAAATCAAAATAGTCAGTTTATACATATTCAAAGCAATGTCATGTTTCATTAAGAAAACATTAAATACTTATGTCTGGATTTAAATTGCTTATATAGGTACTTGTATATCTTTTCAAATATATAGGTAAATGCTTTTGTGTGAATAAAGTAGAAAACAAAACAATGAAGAATAAGAAAGCCAGAGAATAATATACCAAAATTAAAACATAGAATTGATTATTGTAATGAAATCAGAATGAAATAGAAAATGTCCATTAATTACCAGTAGAAAGATTAAATTTCTTTTCCATTAATTTTAGTGGACAAAGTATGAGAAGAGTGTACTATGTTTTTCTAGAATCCAATGAAATCTGAGAAAAAGTGTATGCTTAGAATAGTATTGTTGTTTTTACTTTATAACAATTGAGTACCATTATATGAGTAATAATGTGTATGTTTTCTTCTTTATAGCTTTCCATTGAAATAGGCCATGAAGTTAAAAGTCAAAATAAGCTATTAGCTGAAATGGTAAGTGGTTATGATTTTAACTTTAAGAAATTTGATTTAATATTCTCAAATTTAGTCTGTTAATCAGGAACAACATTTTAATTTTTTTCCCATTTGAAAGAGATCTAGAGATCATAAATTCTGAATTACCATTCATTTGTATCTAATCAGTTTATAATAGCTATGATTTATTTTTGTATTTTCATCTTACAAATACATAAGTAGGAAGAGAGGTGGAAGCTAATGTTTCTTTAGCCCTGTGTTTAGAAACAGTATTAAAGATGTAAGACAAATGACTGTTTTGAGTAGTCTTAGAAATCTCTATGGGTAACGACAACTAGTAATTTATTAACCACGCAATCAAAAAGCACTTTATATCCAACCAACCAAATGTTTCCACTTAATGGAAACTTATTTATTTTGCTCAAATTTTCTAAGGCTCGCTACTGAACAAAGACCTCATAGATTTGAATAGCCCAAAGCCCTTTATCTCTTGTCTAAAAGGGCTCAGCAATACATATATTTTCTTATTAGAGCCTTCTTTCATTTGTTAATGCCTTTTTTTGGATGTCAAACTTCTTTGAACCTTCCATTGTTTCTCCACATGATTTTAAAATTGCACTATTCAAAAATTAATATGATATTGAAAGTGGTGTTCTTCCTTAGCTTCGTGCTAGAACCACTTAGAGAACTCCTTGTAAATGCGTATCTCTATTTCTCACACTAAGTAAACTGCTTCAAAATTTTAAGGGGCGGGAACTAGGCATATGTGTTTTGTAAAGAGCATCACCAGAGATCCTGATGCATAACTCCAGTGAAGAACCATAAGTATTTAAGTGCATGAGGCACATGGATACTGAGGTATGCAAAAAAGTCTTTTAATTATGTCAGGGATTTTTCATCTGAGGACATTAAGACTTCAGTGGAAGTATAATATTTCTTATCTATACCTACTCTGATCTTAAGGACTTTTCCAGCCATTTGAATAGAGTTGTTTTTCTTCACACATATTTATTGTCCTTTCCACATCCTATTCCCCATGAATGATATTCTCTTAATACTTAGTACACTCTACTGTACTTCAAAGTCAGTTATCTAAACAAAAGAATCTTAATTGCTAACCATATTAAATTTAAACATTTAACCACTAACCATATTAAACCTTGAATGCTTTCTTCTACTGGGTAGCGGTTACCTATTTGACCCTGGAAAGCAATGCTATAACGAATAATGGGAAAATCCTGTAAGATAGTCCACAAACCTTTGTTACTATTTTTAACAATGTTTGTTTTATTGTTAGTGATTTTTAATCCACAGAATTGAAATAAGGCTTAAATACTTTGAGTTTTTTAATTACTCTGTGGGACTTTAAAAAATGTCTATTGGGTAATGAAAGAGCTTTTTATTCATTGAGAGAACTGCTTTATTTTGCATGGAGTAATCAGGCTGATTACCCAGGGTTATAAGCAGGTTCTTGAACTGATTAAACACAAAAACTGTCATTGAAAATGTACACTAATAACAGTGTATTCAATTACTTGAATGTGCACATGTAGAATAATAGAACCTAAGTATTACTTTTTCTCTTCTCTCTCATAGGATTCACAATTTGATTCTACAACTGGATTTCTAGGTAAAACTATGGGAAAACTGAAGATTTTATCCAGGGGGAGCCAAACCAAGCTGCTGTGCTATATGATGTTGTTTTCATTTTTTGTCTTTTTTGTCATTTATGGAATTATTAAACTGAGGTGATGCAAGTAAGTGTGAGTTTGGAATTTGTTCCAATTAATAGGATGGAGTACCACTTTGATAAAAATCAGCATTGCAACATTCCTAATTTTGAAATAGTAGACCTTTTCCATTGAAGATTACTGAATTTTGCTTGTTTTATAAATCACATTAGATAATACAGTGTTCTTTGAATACTGTTTCTTATTGACTCATTTAACCCCTATTTTCAGGGGTATTGAGATGGCCTAAAATCAGTGTCGCTCTACCAACCTTTTTTTCTCATTGTTTGCTAGTTGTCAGATTAATATCCTGTTGTTATCATAAATGGAGGTTTATGTTCCACATAAGAAATAGTGGGAAAGTAGTAGAATGCCTGCAGAGCCTGATTCCCAGCTCTTAGGGTAGTAAGCCAGTCTGTGATGGGATGGTAATTATATATTTCTCTGCTGTCATCAACTGGGGTGATGTATACCCCTTTCCTCCTTCATTTGGTTACAATTGGAGACTTAAGTTCTTTTTACCTATAATCTTAATTTTTCATCAAATGACTCTTCTTTCTGTCCAGGACTTCCTTCTTTAATAAAGCTTGTTAATTGGGCATATGTCTGGTAGGGCCTAATCTACATGTGTATCAACATAGTTATTGTTTTATATTAACATAAACTCCATTGACTTGGTTTATGGTAGTTTTATGATTTTAGCTACTTAGGCAGGCCATTTGATTATCATTTGTGACAGAATAATGTGAAGTTAAGTGATTGCTGAGCTCTGGGTAGAAATAAAATGTTCAAGAAAATTAATTGTCTCTGCTTTATTATGTGCTCAAAACATTGAAAATACTCAGCATTGAATTCAGAGTTAAGAGGAGTATTAATCCAGTGCATTTGTTTATAGAAAGCTAAACACAAAGGTGGATTGTTAAGTAAAAAAGAAATATTATCAAATACTCTGTATTGCTACTACTTTGGAGGTTTCAAAAATAAATTTTGTATTGAAATATATTAATTGACTTGATTGCATCTTTAAATCTCTTTTATGTTCTTGATGAACAAAATCAGGCAGTTAACATTGTATTATGTCAGAACTTGCTTCAAACAAATAAGGCAACTCTTATGCAATTAAAGATCTCTTTATTTCTTTATGTTTTTTATTTATGAATGTCATTTTGGTTTTACTGAATTTTCAATTGTTTAGGCTATCCCACATGACCTATCTCAATTTGAGTCCTATTTTTTTCTGATTGCATTTGTCATCATTTGGACCTGTATTTCACTGGTCTAAACCCCAGACTGAGAGAGGTTAAGTTAAGCATAAGACACTGTTTGAGTTAGAAGCCTTGCATTCAGATCTCCTTCCCTTCAATTGCTCTGTGCTTTCAACCTCAGTTTCTTCATAGTATCACTTATTACATTGGATTGTTGTGAAAAGTAGATGAGATAACAGAGAAAATGCCTTACATGACAATCAATAAATGATAAAATTTCCATACTTTATAAATGCTAGTACTCATTATCATTAACAGAAATTAAATGTCAGAAAGGGGAGTTATTTTAAGGGTAAGATAATAGGTTGGTTTCAGGCTTTGAATTACCCAAGTGAGTAATTTCTATCAGGAGCATGACTCATTGGTTCAAGAAAATTTTAACTGTGTTCTCTGTAACAATTATGTTATACCAGAGCTCAGGGAATACTCAAATCTATCAATAGTCAAATTCGCAAAAAATGGAACGAACAGAAGCCCAAAGAAAATTATTGGAAGATGAAAACACAAGAAAATCACTAATGGAAATAGAAAAGATCTGTCTTAGGAAAACCAGTGATGTCAAGAGAAGGGCGAATATCAGGATTATAAGTTTACTATTTTATGGAAACAAAGAATTTCCATTTAAAGTCAGATATTATCATCAGAGAGGTAAAGATTTCAGTAAAAGGGGCTTGGAGTGATGAAAAAGTGATTCTTATTACTGCAGGGATCAGTATTTCTTTTTTGATTTTTTTTAAGAACTGCAAGGAATTTGTCATTTCATATCACTCCTCTACATCACTGTTATTGCTAAGATTCTGATAGGCAGGGAACTCTTTTGGAAGCACTGGCCTGTCTTTGCTCCAAGATGGATCCTTCTGCCAGCATTCTTCTTCCTTCTGTTTAGGGACTCCCAGGAAAAGGTATTCCCAGAAATAAGATTTGGGGGAAATATCAAATATGAAAAAGTTCTAATCCTTTATAATCATTTTTAAGCCCATTGCTAATCCTGTAAAGAACTAGGTTTCTGAGAAGTTGATTGTAATAATTGAATAAATAAGATACTCATATAATATGTTTTTTCAAGAGTTAAGCTTGCAGGTGTTTGGGTCCTGGATGGAGCACTACATATTCTGTATTTTAAATGGTAAAACAAATTCATAAAAAAATTTATAAAAATTGCAGATATCCAGGTTTTCCCAGAAACATCTAGTCACTTCATTTCACTAGCAGTTAAACCTTGGAAGTGTGCCAAACACACTTGCAAATAATTGAATCATAGGCATGTTTTTCTACAATCAGAAAAGGGAGAATTACACATATTATTGATAGAATTGGAATTAGCATTCAAGTTAATTCTTCAATATTACTTGAGCTGGTAATAGATGTCAAATCTAAGATAAATATGCAATATTTTAGGTATCAGAACTTTGAAGCACTTGCATCCATAAAAGTTCTGGTTCTTTTTTAAACAAGTTTTCCTAATTTTTTCAATGCTCTTTCATTTCAAATTAACTGTTGAATTTACTTCTTTGAGAGAAAGTTGAAAAAGTGCTTAGTTTAGGTTCATTTATTGCCATTACTGATGAATGAACTTCAACAATTTACTTGGTATATTTGATAAAGGGGCTAAAAGCATGCAATGGAGGAAGGATAGCATCTTCAACAAATGGTGCTGGGAAAACTGGAAATCCATATGCAACAAAATGAAACTGAATCCCTTTCTCTCACCATGCACAAAAGTTAATTCAAAATGGATCAAGGAGCTTGATATCAAATCAGAGACACGCCGTCTGATAGAAAAAAAAGTTGGCTACGATCTACATACGGTGGGGTCGGGCTCCAAATTCCTCAATAGGACACCCATAGCACAAAAGTTAATAACTAGAATCAACAAATGGGACTTACTCAAACTAAAAAGTTTTTTCTCAGCAAAAGAAACAATAAGAGAGGTAAATAGGGAGCCTACACCCTGGGAACAAATCTTTACTCCTCACACTTCAGATAGAGCCCTAATATCCAGAGTATACAAAGAACTCAAAAAATTAGACAATAAGAAAACAAACAACCCAATCAACAAATGGGCCAAGGACCTGAACAGACACTTCTCAGAGGAGGACATACAGTCAATCAACAAGTACATGAAAAAATGCTCACCATCTCTAGCTGTCAGAGAAATGCAAATCAAAACCACCCTAAGATACCATCTCACTCCAGTAAGATTGGCAGCCATTATGAAGTCAAACAACAACAAGTGCTGGCGAGGATGTGGGGAAAAGGGTACACTTGTACATTGCTGGTGGGACTGAAAATTGGTGCAGCCAATTTGGAAAGCAGTATGGAGATTTCTTGGAAAGCTGGGAATGGAGCCACCATTTGACCCAGCTATTCCCCTTCTCGGTCTATTCCCTAAAGACCTAAAAAAGAGCATGCTACAGGGACACTGCTACATCGATGTTCATAGCAGCACAATTCACAATAGCAAGACTGTGGAACCAACCTAGATGCCCTTCAATAGACGAATGGATTAAAAAAATGTGGCATTTATACACAATGGAGTATTACTCTGCATTAAAAAATGACAAAATCATAGAATTTGCAGGGAAATGGATGGCATTAGAGCAGATTATGCTAAGTGAAGCTAGCCAATCCCTAAAAAACAAATGCCTAATGTCTTCTTTGATATAAGGAGAGTAACTAAGAACAGAGTAGGGAGGAAGAGCAGGAGAAGAAGATTAACATTAAACAGGGATGAGAGGTGGGAGGGAAAGGGAGAGAGAAGGGGAAATTGCATGGAAATGGAAGGAGACCCTCAGGGTTATTCAAAAGTACATACAAGAGGAAGTGAGGGGAAAGGGAAAAATAATACAAGGGGGAGAAATGAATGACAGTAGAGGGGGTAAAGAGAGAAGAAGGGAGGGGAGGGGAGGGGAGGAGGGATAATAGAGGATAGGAAAGGCAGCAGAACAGAACAGACACTAGTATGGCAATATGTAAATCAATGGATGTGTAACTGATGTAATTCTGCAATCTGTATATGGGGTAAAAATGGGAGTTCATAACCCACTTGAATCAAAGTGTGAAATATGATATATCAAGAAATTTGTAATGTTTTGAACAACCAACAATAAAAAATTTTTAAAAAAAATCAATTTACTTGGAAGCAGAATAGCATCTCGGGAAGACTGAAAGCTATTGTCTGTGCACAAAACCTGGCTCCACCATTCACATTCTGACTTTGGGCTGATAACCTCTCTATCTCAATAACTCCCTGAAAAACAGGAATTAAAATTGTGTAAAGATAGTGGTAATATAGTCATAAAGTTATGATGAATGAAATAATACTTGAAAAAGCTTTAGAATGGATGCTCAATGGTAGCTGTTGTCATTGTGATTGGGATATTTGGGAATTCTAATCTGTTACAATAGCCTGTACATAGCAGCTGGAATTTTGGCTGCTTTCTCCTCACTACACTGCCAGAAATAAAAGCAGCTGTATGTCTTTTCTAGGAAAGTTTTATAATTTCTGGCATTTTATTCATCTAGATTGTGTGTGTGTGTGTGTGTGTGTGTGTCCTCAACAACCTAATGGAACTAGCTTTTTAAAAAAACCTACATTTTTTAAGCTTATTTGACTTGTTTGGGTTATTGTAATGATAACAACAGAGCTTTTGACTTTCTAGAGGCAGAGGTTTGAAAGGAGAGAAAGTTCTCTACCTATGGGGGTATCTACTATCCACTGTAATTGAATGTAATAGGGTCTCTCTAAGGTATATATATTTTGTTCCAACCAATATTTTATCACTGCACTAGTACCCTACCATTAATTATTAGGGTTTCACAGTGTTTTAACAGCCAATAGATATTCTTATCTGATCTGTCTGATGAATATTCTTCGATAGTATTTTAATAAACCATAGTTGCTTTTAATAAGAATCACATTAATATTCTGTTTTCTGCTCTGGAGGAACAAAAAGCTTCTCAAATATTTTCATAGTTGAAGTGATAGATTTTTACTCTGAACTTTTTATTTCCCTTGATTATGTATTTATATTCAATGGTATAATAATAAACCAGTTCTCAGGGTGGGTGAGGGGTCTGGAAGAGCCTTGATGTATAGTAATTTTATATTTCCCTGGCATAAATACTCATATTACACTGGATTTCAAGTACCAAAGTGACATCCTTAGACACAGCATTGAGAAAGTCCATGCACAATTGGCTCTCATGAGCTGGTATAACTAGCTCCAGTGTTCTTGTTGTATTATAATCAATATTCTTTTTTAAAAAATATAGAAGTTATTTGTTCCCATAAAAATTGTGATCAAAATCTCAACAAATTGTAGTAGATAAAATCCAAGAGACATGAAATTAAACAGATAAATTAACTTCAGAATAATGTTTTCCAAAAGCAATGGACACTTAGAGGTTGATTTGTACATTTTATGTGCCAACTCTGTTTGTATGTGTAAACTCTTGCTACATATATTGACCTTCCTGGTAGTTAAAATATTATATAATAACAATATAAGAAAAAAGTTAGAGGTTATTGGTACTTTGGTTTTCTTCCTGCTTTTTCCTCTTGTCAAATGTTTAAGCATGCATGCAGGATCATTCTATGAATTTTATACTAAAGTAGGACAGAAGAGGCTGGACACCTGAGGAATTTTCAGGAAGCAGGTTTTTGACTGCAGGGTTCAGAATGGGCTACCTTCTAAAACTTCTTCCTCTGAACAATGAATCTAGAAATTCTTTGAA